TTTGATAACTATATTGTAGAAGTACTCTTTTAGGAGGTAGACTGCTTATGGGCACCAGGTCTCGAAGCTGGTTGGCTAACGGGTCATTGTTTACCTGATTTACCTCTTATATGATACTTTTGAAACACGACAGTCAATTACAACCTTTTCTGTACGAACTTAATTTCGCCCTAAAAAAAATAAAAAAAAAGGAGGGAAAGTGTTGATAGGGAGGTCTCAATAGAGGAAGAATTGAGTAGATGAGGGCATGCTCTAAACATGACTTGTTGACATGCTTATCCAAACCACTTAATGCTGTTTTTACATTTATGTCCCCCTTCCCTTCTTCCACAATCCACGCATAATTACACTCCCCTTTCCCATCTATTTTCCATGCCCCTTAAATTCAATTTCCCAAATTCCATATATACCCTTTTTCATATAAATAAAATAAAACAAAAATCAGATCAAACAAAAACACTGAGATCGTCTCGCCTTCGTCATCAGAACTCCTAAATTCACTACTGTTCCTGACTACCGCATCCATCGCCATTACCTCCCTGTTGCGTCCTCCCGCCTCTATCTCCTCATCATCGTCGTTGCCCCCTCATCGTTGTCGTTGCCCCCGTTCCTAAATAATTTGATTTCTTACCTAAAAATAAAATAAAATAGAAAAGGGCTCTCTTGTCAAAGTGGTATGATGTATTAGGGACCACAATCATCACCCTTTTCCCCTCCAATTTCCCCTCCAATTTGCACCTAACATGTTGAAAAACATTAATTTAGGGAGAGAGAGAGAGAGAGAGAGCGCCATTGCTATATATAAATCCATAAGCATATAAACTTCAACACAAGAGCCAAAACTCAATCTAACCTCCAATGGCTGCCACCACCATCTTCACCACCCTCCTCCTCCTCCTCACCATCTCCGCCACCATCCATGGCAGAGAAAGCCAATTCTTTGCAAAAGTCTCCAACAACATTCCACAAGAAGCACAACCCTTAAACACCAATCAACAAGACTCCAAAACCGGCGATTCTTACGGCCTCTACGGCCATGAATCCGGCCAACTTCCTCCCTCTGCCACCACCACCACCACCACCGCCACCACCACCAACAACAACAACAACCTCCCTGCCAACCTCCCGGAAAACTACAACCCTGTGGCGTACACCACCCCCATCCACAGCAGCACCCAAAACCTCGCCGATGAATTCACTGAACCCCAAGCATTCCAGTACAATGGCGACGCCACCATGTACAGCAACCAGAAGGATAACCAGTTTTCCGGCAATGGCGACAACGATATGTACAACTCCGAGAAGCAAGAAATGGGAACAAATGGCGGCAATATGTACTACTCCCAGAAGCAGGGGATGAGTGATACCAGATTCTTGGAGAACGGAAGGTACTACTCTGGGGGCGATAATGGGTACAACCCACGGAAGCAGGGGGCAATGGATGGCGCGATGTTCGCGGAGATGGCGGAAGATGGGGGCAATATGTACAACTCCCAGAAGCAGGAGAATGGAAGGTACAACCAGGGTCAAGAAATGTACAACTCCCAGATGCAGGAGAATGGAAGATACAACCAGGGTCAAGAAATGTACAACTCCCAGAAGCAGGGAAGCAATGGAAATATGTACAACACTGAGAAGCAGGGTATGAGTGATACAAGGTTCCTAGAGAGTGGAAAGTACTATTATGACCTCAACAGTGAAAACCTCAATGCAAATGCAAACATGAACTCAAGAGGATTTCAATACAACAACAAAGGGTATTATGGGAACAATGATGTTAATTCATATGAAAGGTACAATTCCAATGGAGGGTATCAAAACCAAGATGAATTCCAAGAGAACCAAGAAGATCAATTCAACCCTTGATGGTAATTTTGTCTTTTCACATTTCTAGGTAATTTAAGGGGGGAGGTATGTGCATGAAGATATGGGTGTTTTAAGATAATGATAATTTGTGGGGTTTGGTGTTATAAGTGTTCATTATGTCATATGCTTTGTTAGGGAAGCCAAAATATAAAGTCAAAATCAATTTGTGTGTTGTTTTGTCTTGTGGTCAACCTCATGCTTTGAAAGAATGTACTTTGAGCTTTAAACTTTGTACCTTGGCAACGATTTTTCATCGTTTGATTCTGTTTCAAAAAAGACAGTATAATTGCATCTACGGTAACACAGTAAGTGCTCCTTCTCGAATACCAGACTCAGAGTAGGAGATTACACCAAATTGTGATATTAGATTAGATGTAACAGTGTTCATTTATGTCGTTTTCATTGATGGTTATAGATGGTATTTAGATATGACCAATGATGATATCCAATTGAAAGTTTATGCACATGTGAATGAGTAATGAGTATTGAAGTCTATTAATGACTTTGAAGGGTTTTAATGAATACCCTTAAACAACAAACAATCATTTATAAACGTCTTTAAAAAAAAAAAAAAGATGTTTGAACGATTCCTGAACAAGATTTGATGATCAGATGTTGGAATTTTAGTCCACGACAAAGGTTATAGATGTAGGATCCATCTAAGTGCATGTCTTAAACCATGATTACTTATATAGACACAATCATTTACAAACCCAATAAACTATACAAACTTACAAAAACATATCTAAATGTTTCACATATGAAACAATACTGTATTTTTACACACTTCAAAACTGGTTTATAAGTTTATATGAATTATTTGGGTTTTAAAGGAAGTGGACTCTACATACATACATACATGCATACATACATACATACATACATACATACATACATACATACATACATACATATGTAGGGTTGAGTTCACCAGAGACCAACATGTTTTCTTGAGACCATAGTTTTACACCTGAAACTTTACAGCAAAATGTTGTGAAAAGGTAAAAGAACTTCGAACTTTCATAGCAAAAACACTGTGAAGCTTACCCTCACAGTATTTTACCGTGAAGTTTTAAGTGTAAAATGATACTCTCACAAAAACAGGTTGGTGTCACATGATGCTAAATTTACATATGTATATTTTATGAATATTTATGTGAAATTAGCTTTTTTAGGCCTAAAGAAGAGTGAAATATGACCTACCCAAAAGGTGAAGTAGATGAAATTAAATTGAGAAAAAGAAAGCCCTTTCGGTGAGGCATTTAAGGGCATCTTATGAAGAGTTGGTGTCGTTAGTGGTTGGACCCTTGATAGGGAGGGTTTAGGGACCTCCCCTGCATTTTCTAAAACCCTACCCCAATAAATTCTTTAAACAAAAACTTTGATATAAATATATATATATATGGTTAGGTTCACGTGAGACCAGACTGTTTTCGTGAGACCTGTGAGACCACATTTTTTACACTTGAAACTTCACAGCAAAAACACTGTGAAGGTTTAAAAAAATCGAACCTTAACAGCAAAAACACTGTGAAGGTTACCTTCACAGCATTTTGCTGTGAAGTTTCAAATGTAAAAAGCTGGTCTCACGGTCTCATGAAAACAGGCCGGTCTCACGTGATTAGTTTGTGTAAACCATGTAAACCAATCTCATTCATCCATTTTCTTGATCAATGGTCAAGATTAGTTTAGGTTATATTAGAAAATTAAAAAAAATTTAAAATTTAAAATTTATTTTATAATCCCAAAAAGAGCAAAATGGTAATTTTGATAATGGTAATATTAATGGCAACCATATCATGTATATCGTAATATTTATGAAAGAAAATCATTTGTAAAATAATAAATTAACGTTTTCACGAACCAATCTGCATACGTTTCATAAAACAAGCTCCTTAATGAACGTTTTCATGAACAAATCTAACATGAATCTGTTTCACAGCTAATTATATTTTTACCGGTTCATGAATCTTTGTTTATATTTGTTACTGATTTCGTGGATTAATGAATATAATAATTTTCGATTTTCATATTATTACCACTAATAAACCGAGAAACCAAATAACAATATTCAAATTTTGAAAATTCTAATTTAAATATTACCATTTATAAAATTTTCTTTATTATGTTACCTTAATTAAGATTTATTAATAACTTTCATATCTAATAGAAAACAATGTAAATGACAAATCTAACCTTAATGATTAAATTTAATTAAGAAAAAAAAGAATTTCTTATTGGTCGAAATTAGTTTACACGGTTTCTAAGAATTAGACGGTTTTCATTTGATCCCGCCTCTCTCTCTCTCTCTATATATATATATATGTGTGTGTATACGCTTATATATACATGATTAATTTCTACTTAAAACAATATCAACGTGTATGGATTACTTCAATAATTCAATCAATAAGTAGGGGAAAAGGGAAATTTTGCTTTTCATTCTTTTACTTTTCCTTTTCTTTTACTTTAGTTTTTTTATTCTCACCGTTTGAATTCAAACAAAACGAAAACTACGACATGTCCTTACCCAACAAGCAAAAGTAACTAAAACATAGTCTCTCTAACCGTTAACTGTTAAAACATTGAATTTTCAGGACCAAAAAACCGGATTTTTAAATCCCAATAGGTACTAACAGCATTAATTTCTTTTGTATTTTCTACCTCTAAAGTATTTCTTCATATTTTTAATACAAAATAATTATTTAACGATTGAATTGGTTAATAACCAGTATTTACAACTTTTATTTTTAAACCAATCAAAGTATTTGTTAAAATACAAAATAGCACACAAAACACAGTGTTTTTAGTCATCATACATATAATCTTACTATAAAATACAGTCTAAAAGATTTATCTTTCTGATATATATTAACTTATGTTTCGTATAATTAAATACACTAATTAATTTACAACAAAATCACGATAAAATCAATTTTTTTTATTAATCTGGATATCCAACCCGCTACGCAAGCCGACTAATCTCAGGGCGACCACCTGTTTTGCAGATAGCCCGGAGTCACCGCATTTGAACCTCCGTGGCCACAAGGGAATTTTTATTTTTTCTTGGATTTGAATCTGAGAGCTCCTGATACTTTTGATCTTTGAAATCAAGCTCAAACCAATCAAACATCATTCTTGTGGTTAAACAAAGAAAATAGAAAATGATTTGGCCTTGGATTCTTGACCAAAAGTGTTTCAAAATTAGAATATTTTCCATCTTTTTATTGCAAAATGGAGCACTCACATTTAACACAAGAACTAAACCAACAAGTGTTTCCCTTATTTTTCAAAGTTTTTGCCTTTTTGTTTTATTTGTTTATTTTTTTAATTTTTATCCGGAATTTATGAAAAATGTAGTCTATGGTCAAAAAGCCATTAAATAATGGTCTTTTTTATTATTATTATTTAATATATAAATATTTAATTAACTTTAGTTTGGTTGTTTAAATGGTTGAATTCGTTTACCAAACAGTTATCAGGTAAGTATATGGTAATGATTCATGATCTTATGCTATAATAAGAACGATGACAATGATCAAGAGTTTACCGGTAAATGAGGGTGATGATTCTTAACCGGTTGGTGTTTATCGGATAAATTATTGCATATGATACCCTTTTGATGGATTAGAATCTTACCCGGTAAAGTAAAGAAGAGTGTTGGCTCTCACTGGTAAGCGCATACCGGGTAAGTATTTAGGCAAACGACTCTTAATAATGAAAAATAATTGTAATAAAATATTATTTTTCGGTCAAATAATAAATATCGTTGGAATTTAATGTGATGGAATTGTTTATTTTAGGTATCGGAGAGTGAATAATCGATTTCTTTGGCTGATGGAATTTGACTATTTAACATAATCAAATTTCAATTAAGATGTTCAACTGAAAATAATAATTTCATCCCATCACTCATTTTACGGTTTAATTAGTTAGGTTTTAAAAAAATATATGGTAAAAGAAAAGAAATATCAAAACGTCAATGAAGTTGAAAACACGAGTGTTTGTGTTTTAGTACTGATTGATTGACGGGAAATTGGTTTGTACAAAATCGAACAATTTTCTCTGGTATTTCCTACCTGTGTCTTCACCAATTAAAAAAAAAGTATCTCAAATCAATCAAAAAACTGGGAAAAAATCCCTTGCAATTAACAAAAATGCTAAAAAAAATTTCTCGAAAGCAATCAAAAAAACTTTAAAAATTCTTGAAAACAGTAAAATTATGCCAAAAATACATCAGACGACTTTACAGACCCTTATCTATATTTATACTATATTATAAAGTATTTGACAAAAACTCTTAAAATCCATTTTTTATGCATGAAGTACTGTATATTGATGCATATTACTTAAAATTCAAGATTACAAGTGATTTTGCGTAAGTACAACTTATTAAAGCTCCATTTTAAATTCGTGTAACTAATTGCAGATAAACATAACCAAATACAAGATAAATATTTATTTTAAATATAGAATCTAAAATATAATTAGGATAATCATTGAGTTTCTAACTAAATGTTTAATTATTATCTTTGATAAAAATTATGTTATTAAACCAAAAAATAATCTAAATTAAATTATAATAAAAAATTGAATTAAAGAATTTACACAAAAAACGACAACTATTAAATAGTTAATTTAATATCAATATTGATTTTAGTTTTTTTAAATTTTTTATGTTATCTTCAAATTTATATTCATTTAAAAAAAATATTATCGTTTTCTCAAAACCACATAAAAATTATATTATATTAATAAAGACAAAAAATAAAATTAAACATTAAAATAAAAATTTATATCGCTGTATTACACCAATACCGTTGTAGTATTTGTCAAGGATTCCACCAAGTAAAACTCCTAGTGGAAGTGGGTGGTATTTCTTGCAATATAAAATGGTGGGTAGCCGTGAATGGTGGAAGTGGGTCAGTCCCTACTAATTTTGACTTCCTATTTTAGGTCCACACTCCATCTTGACTTATACTTTTCATATGGAGGGCCTATTTGCAATTTCTTCAAAGTTAGAGGGTCGTTATCAAATTTCATCTAAATTTAATGAACCATAATTATAAATTATAAAATATATTAATATTCAGAGTAAACTATAAATTTGGTCTTTATGGTTTGTTAAAAAATATATTTTTCGTTCCTGCAGTTTTAAAATTGTAAGATAGTTTTTCTAGTCTGCAAAACCGTTCGGATTTCGTCCATTGTTCTAACGATCGTTAAAAAATTTCGTTAAATGAGGGACGTTTTTGT